ACTCCGCGTACTAGAGTTGTACTACCAAGTCGCCAGTTCTCATCTTCCAGCTCCCCAGCTACTCCGCGTACTAAAGTTGTACCACAAAGTCGCCAGTTCTCAGCTTCCAGCTCTCCAGATACTCCGCGTACTAGAGTTGTACTACCGAAGTCGCCAGTTCTCATCTTCCAGCTCCCCAGATACTCCGCGTACTAAAGTTGTACTACAAAGTCGCCAGTTCTCATCTTCCAGCTCCCCAGATACTACAAAGTCGCCAGTTCTCAGCTTCCAGCTCCACAGATTGCTCCGCGTACTAAAATTGGACTAGAAAGTCGCCAGTTCTCATCTTCCAGCTCCCCAGATACTCCGCGTACTAAAGTTGTACTACAAGGTCGCCAGTTCTCAGCTTCCAGGTCTTCAGCTACTCCGCGTACTAAAGTTGTACTACAAAGTCGCCAGTTCTCAGCTTCCAGCCCCACAGATGCTGAGCCTGCCACGAAATCTGCACATGGAGGTTCACAAAGCACTGTGCCTGCCACGAAATCTGCGCATGGAGGTTCACAAAGTGCTGCGCCTGGCGCGAAATCTGCACATGGAGGTTCACAAAGTGCTGCGCCTGCCACGAACTCTGCGCATGGAGGTTCACAAAGCGCTGCGCCTGCCTCGAAATCTGCACATGGAGGTTCACAAAGCGCTGCGCCTGCCAGGAAATCTGCACATGGAGGTTCACAAAGTGCTGTGCCTGCCACGAAATCTGCACCTCGAGCTTCACACAGCGCTGTGCCTGCCACAAAATCTGCACATGGAGGTTCACACAGCGCTGTGCCTGCCACGAAATCTGCACCTCAAGCTTCACAAAGTGCTGCGCCTGCCACGAAATCTGCGCACGGAGGTTCACAAAGCGCTGCGCCTGCCACGAAATCTGCGCATGGAGGTTCACAAAGAGCTGCACCTGCCACGAAACTGCACATGTGCCTGCCACGAAATCTGCACATGGAGGTTCACAAAGCGCTGCGCCTGCCACGCAATCTGCACATCGAGGTTCACAGAGCGCTGTGCCTGCCACGAACTCTGCGCATGGAGGTTCACAAAGCGCTGTGCCTGCGACGAAATCTGCACATGGAGGTTCACACAGTGCTGTGCCTGCCACGAAATCTGCGCATGGAGGTTCACAAAGTGCTGCGCCTGCCACGAAATCTGCACATGGAGGGAAATCTGCGCATGGAGGTTCACACATGGAGGTTCACAAAGTGCTGCGCCTGCCACGAAATCTGCGCTTGGAGGTTCACAAAGTGCTGTGCCTGCCACAAAATCTGCGCATGGAGGTTCACAAAGTGCTGTGCCTGCCACGAAATCTGCACTTCAAGAAACAACTGAAACCTCCAATCACAATGGAGGGACAATTCCGAGCATGATCCGAGCATGATCCGACCATGATCCGACGATGACCCGAGACCGTCTCGCAACCGTCGTTCCGCGGAGCTTCCCCGTCGAGGTTTGGAGAAGCATGGAGGTTCACAAACTGCTGTGCCTGCCACGAAATCTGCACATGGAGGTTCACAAAGTGCTGTGCCTGCCACGAAATCTGCACATGGAGGTTCACAAAGTGCTGTGCCTGCCACGAAATCTGCACCTCGAGGTTCACACAGTGCTGCGCCTGCCACAAAATCTGCACATGGAGGTTCACACAGCGCTGTGCCTGCCACGAAATCTGCACCTCAAGCTTCACAAAGTGCTGTGCCTGCCACGAAATCTGCGCGTGGAGGTTCACAAAGTGCTGCGCCTGCTGCGAAATCTGCGCGTGGAGGTTCGCAAAGCGCTGCGCCTGCCACGAAATCTGCGCATGGAGGCGCACAAAGTGCTGTGCCCTGCCACGAAATCTGCACATGGAGGTTCACAAAGTGCTGCGCCTGCCACGAAATCTGCACTTCAAGAAACAACGGAAACCTCTAATCACAATGGAGGGGCGATTCCGAGCATGATCCGAGCGTGATCCGACCGTGATCCGACCATGACCCGAGACCGTCTCGCAACCGTCGTTCCGGGGAGCTTCCCCGTCGAGGTTTGGAGAAGCATGGAGGTTCACAAAGCGCTGTGCCTGCCACGAAATCTGCACATGGAGGTTCACAAAGTACTGCGCCTGCCACGCAATCTGCACATCGCGGTTCACAAAGCGCTGTGCCTGCAACGAACTCTGCACATGGAGGTTCACAACGTGGTGCACCTGCCACGTAAACTGGAGCTAGAGCTCTTGAAACTAGAGCTGCCTGGAGCTAGAGCTATGAAAACTAGAGCTACCTGGAGCTAGAGCTCTTGCAACTAGAGCTAACGATGATGAGTGGTGTACGTTGAGTGGTGTATGATGAGTGGTGTATGATGAGCGGTGTATGATGAGTGGTGTATGATGAGTGGTGTATGATGAGTGGTGTATGATGAGTGGTGTATGATGAATGGTGTATGATGAATGGTGTATGATCAGTGGTGTATGATGAGTGGTGTATGATGAGTGGTGTATTGATGAGTGGTGTATTGATGAGTGGTGTATGATGAGTGGTGTATGATGAGTGGTGTATGATAAGTGGTTTGATGAGTGGTGTATTGATGAGTGGTGTATGATGAGTGGTGTATTGATGAGTGGTGTATGATGAGTGGTGTATGATGAGTGGTGTATGATGAGTGGTGTATGATAAGTGGTGTATGATGAGTGGTGTATGATGAGTGGTGTATTGATGAGTGGTGTATGATGAGTGGTGTATGATGAGTGGTGTATGATAAGTGGTGTATGATAAGTGGTGTATGAGTGTATGATGAGTCGTGTATTGATGAGTGGTGTATTGATGAGTGGTGTATGATGAGTGGTGTATGATGAGTGGTGTATTGATGAGTGGTGTATGATGAGTGGTGCATCGATGAGTGGTGTATTGATGAGTGGATGAACAGTTCTTGAATGTCCGTAACACGGAAGTTTCGTACACTAAACGTCCTTTGATGAAAGGCTCTTTGCTCCGTGTCTACAACAACAGGGATGCCTTCTTCAATGTGTTCAATGAAAGAATGGCAACAGGAAAGCGCACGCAGGAGCATGCTATTGAACGACTCGAGGATACTTGCATTGACTTGCATCGTCGCTTGTACTGAACTTTCAAAAACCACCCGTATTTGAAGAAGTATCAGAACCATATCCCACTGACACGAGCTCATTGAATGTATTCCTTTGCATTAAATAATGCCCGTATCAGTTGCGGATGCCTCGGCAAAGCGACGGTCAAAAAACTGGTCAAAATCAAAGTCCAGTTGTGCCAGCTTGTGCAAATCAAACCTGGGCGCCGGTCTGAAAGCAGACTTGAGCAAATGTGCCACGTGGTTGCGCAAGGGAGAAGTCAATAGCTCTTTAGCTGTCTGCAGTCTACACAATACAGAGTCGCATGAACCGCTGGAACGTCCAGTATCTTTTTGAGGCGACGGCCAATATCCATCTTTGATAATGTCAATGACAGCAAAATCAATGTGATCCTTGGTCGGCATCAAATCATGCACTCTTGGCAATCTTGCAAAACCTAAAGTCACAAACAACGGACATACGCACCGCAATACCAAGGTATCTCGGTTGATGGGAAACACTGGAAACATACCAGGGACGTAAATGACAACAAACACAGATGACATACAAGATCAAGCACGGTTGTCCCTCCAGTCTCTGAAGGAAAGGCAGATGAGAGTGTGAAGTGAGCATCTGGATAACTTGCGCAATTGGAGGTCGCAACTGCAGGGCAAACACTGATCGATACTTAAAAGAGCCGGTGCTGCTTCTCAAATTTATTGAAACGACGCATGCGAATCCTCACTCCAGACAGCCCCGCATCTGTTGCGTGGGCTGGTTGTTCACCATGTCACCCAGCAAAACTTGAGAGCCTGCGAGGCACTTCGTGCCGCGGCTGAAAAGAGCAAAAGGGCTATTCTTGAGCCTGTCGCATTCTGAGGCTTGGATCTGCAGGGGTATGTCTCAAAACGTATCAACTTCTCAAGGTAATTGTTTTCCAAAAGACTTCTGTTAGGCTGCTGGGCTCCCCCCAGGGGGGAGTAAAGCTACCCCAGGAAAAGAAGGGGAACCCAATATGACAGAGCGATCTATCCATGCTCATACCATCATCGCGCGATCATCTTCCGCAGGTTCCACCCCACAAAGATGCCACTGATCCAAGATGCCACTGCAATCATGGCCACCATTTTGATGGTCTTGTCATCCCAATGAAGTGGACAAAGTCGATAGAACAGGGAATCCTCCAGATCCTTCAGGAAAAGAACATCGTCTGCAGCTTGCTGCAGAAATCTGAGATAACTGTTTTCCAATCCCTACTTTTTTGCCTTAAACTTTAGTCAACTCAGCACGCTAGATTCTAGCAGCGAGATTTGTGTCCTTTTTTTGTACACTTGCCACCAGGCTCTTGCCCTTCATGAAGGAGGTGGATCCACCAGAGGTGCTGGCTCCACTAGGTGCTGCAGTGCTCTCCTTTGTGATGCCCATGATGGAAGCCATTGGGCAAGTCCCCTGCTTCCCCGAAATGGGACACCGCTCCTCTGGCTGCGCAGGCTGCACAGGCTGGGCCGGCACGGTTGGCATTTCAACCTTGGGTGCGTCAACCTTTGTGCTGTTCGGTCGCCGCATCCTCAAGCCTGAGTCTGCACTCACCTCTTCACCTGCTCGCAGTTTTCCTGCCAAAAAGGATTTCTCCCAGCAAACCATGTCTAAATGGTCAAACAAAGGAAATGAGGTTTCAATCATGGTATCCCAAATTAAGTTAGCAACCAATTTTCTCACCCCAAGGTCCTGCTAATGGATACTTCTCCTTCAGTCGCTCTCGCCATGCTTTTAAAGCCTCCTCATCTTCTGGCGTGTCTGGTTTCCACTCAAAATCATCCAAGTGGTCGGGTTCCAAGCTCATGGTTGCTAGACATCTGGTCACATCATGTCCTGCAAGGATTGCGTAGCCACCACCTGGGCCATACAACTCCCTCCCTGAGCTCACATCCAGAAGCTCACCTCCTATTCCTATCAAGATTCGACCACCATCTTGGCCCTGAAAGCCCTGCAGCTCGTCCAATGTCAGTTCCAACTGCTCTGCGCAGGGCTCTGCTTTCTCGGCAGCAGGTGTATCTTGGGAAGATCGATAGCTTATGCCCTTCACCGGATTCAGCTCGAAGATTTCAGACATCATAGTTTCAGTGGCGGCATAAATTCGTTTCATGGCACGAAGCATAGGCAGGCGAATTTCGTCGCCCATCTCTATCTGATCAAAGTCTTGCAGGTACTTCTGCACCCGCACCGATTCCTTTCCTGCTGCCACACCATCGAAGGCATAGAACTTCACACCCGGCGCCCCATGAGGGACACAAAGCTTCTCGGAGACCATCTTCCCCAGATAGGCTCCTCCACTCAGCACCGCATTGTACTGCAAGAAGTGGTGGGCCAACAAAAGGTTGCTGTTTTCGGCATCTTTCTCTAAACTCTGAAGATACTGTTTCAGTGCTGAGGAATTGGAAGCGATTTTCTCAGACTCCTCTTCCCAGTTGGGACCCAAAAGCCGTCGCAAATCTGCTTCTAAGGCTGCAGTTCGCAGCAGCCCCTCGTCATGCACCCGACAAATTGGCTCTGTATCCAACTTTGCCTCCAGGGCTTTGAAAAGGCCTCGGTTCAAGACCAGCCATGAGGCATACTGTTTCAAGCTGAAGACTTGCTTGTAAATCATCTGCATCCATGGATGGTCCATGGACTTGTCGTGCTCCAACAAAGTCTTCTGGAGGAACCATTTCGAATGCCCCTCCGATCTGGACAATGCTCCATACTTGCTCATGCTGGTACAGTGAAGCAAACCAACGCAAACCAGCCAAGAATGTTGTTTCCTGCTCGGGCAAAATGTCGAATTTGAGCCACCAAAATGGCTACTGTTCGCTCAGAACCATGTTGATGACGGATTAATGAGGGAATCTGAGTAGCCCAATAATCTGGACAAAGCTCACTCAGCTATTTTCCTGAGGCATCTACCGACGTCCTCCGGAAAAAGGAGGCAAAGTCAAAGGCCCGGACCTGCAAAGGACATCCGCAACACTACCTTTTGAAGAGTGGACCTCAAGGCAAACAAGTCGTAAACTCAATACTGTGACTGTAACCGTAACCTCTTGACCAACACCTCGTGAAAAGTATAAGACTGTTGTCTCTGTTCCTCCGCTCTTGCTGGGTCCCTTCAACGATCTTCAACATATGTCATCAAAGCTCTGTGAACTCTCATATCCCATCCTCATACTTCTCACATAAACCTGGCCTCCAAGCGAAGCATGACCAATTCGGTCCATGCCTGGGAGAAGAGAAAGAAGAGAAACTGTTATCATGGCAAAGGCTTTACGGTATCAGCTGATTGCACTCAACCTGTAAACCAAAAAAATGAAAAACAATTATCCTTGTTTATACTCTTGAAGGAATAAGGATAATTCCTTCCGGCCCAATCTGGCCTTGGAGGCAAACCACGATTGCTGCAGCACCGTGTCCAGCTCTTCCTGGGAGGACTCCCACCTACCTACGAAAATGGTGATTCCTGCTACAACAAAGAAGTCACAACTTGTTTTTGTCACTTTTTTTTTGGGGTAGGCCGCCAGAGGTAGCTAGTAGATACAAACGGTAGCTAGTAGTAGCTACTAGCATGGACGCAGAATAGCTCACACACTCACACACTATTCATTTGGTTCCTAGATGTTTAGGGAAACTCAATAGCAACCAATCCACTAACCAGATTCTTCTGCCCCTGCGCCAATGTTTACGGGTACATAGTTTGCGACCACAAAGTTTGTCATACATTCGCTCTGCAAGGTTCTTCTTTGCTTCTACTATTTCGTGATCAACTCATCAGTGACTACACAAGCTAGGCAAACCAGCCATGTGTGCAAAAGGTTGCAAGGTTCATTCCGGCCTGGTGGCTTTCCAGGAAGGGGGCAATCGGCAAATGCAGGGATGTCAAATCTACAATCAGTGCAATCTGCCTCAGGAGCGAGAAAACAGAAAGACTGGACCTTCAGTGACTTCGTTGCATCATCGTCATCCAGGTGGTAGCCCCACAGGTTCGAGGTTGGCAAGTTGTGCCAGGTGTCCAGCCGTCGGCAAAAGGCATCAAACAACAGATCCTGCGTGGGCAACAAATCCACTGAGTATTTAATCCCCTGAGTATTTCAGAACCACTTCCCGCCCAAAGAACACTACAATGATATAATGTCTAAAACCGAGAACTGCCATCGTCTAAAGTCTCAAAGTCCTCCATGGCTTTGTAGTTCTCCTCAAAGTAAGCCTTGAAGGCAAAGGGATGAACCTGCTTTGCGGCGCAAAGCGCGGCGGAGGACACAGCACAAGGTGTCGCCTTAGCTTCCACATGGCCCATCCTGACCCCACGCTTTGCGGCCCACCTCCACGAGGTGTCTCATCTGAACAAACTCCTTGTTGGACATCAGCTCCCCAGCATAGTCTAAGAACCTCCAAAGTGTGGAAGGATGCATATGGCATATGCCATATGGGTACAAGAACATGTGTATATATATATAGAGAGAGAGAGAGGTCTGTAATCTCATGTGTATATATATATATATAATAATGTAATATAATATAATATAATGTAATATAATGTAAGGTGTAGATCTAGGCAATCGTCCTAGTCTAACTGATGCCTCAGTCCTGCGCTAAATGAGTCCAGCACCTTCCCTACACGCCCTCATTTTGACCGTCATCGCCTCAACTTTTTCCGAACCCATCTGAGATCCCGACACTTGGCTCTGGAAATGAAGCTCCAGGACTCGCCTCGAAAGCAAGCCCTCCGAAGCTGGCACAAAAGCTTTCCGCAAAACGGCCCGACTCTGCTCCAAGTCCCCCCTTTACCCTGGTCCAAACACCCACAAGATTCTTTGTTTCGAATGAAGATTACAACATCGCTTAGCTCCCAGCTTTCAGGGTCTTACACTCCCGCCCTCGGTGACTCTCATTCACTGTATACACCTGGCCTGTCAATTTCAGCGAGGCTTCGTATGGCCCCTGCCATATTGGTCGACGATGTACCTGTGGCCCGTCCACTTCTGGGAAGACTTCAGCGGAAGCACCTTTAAGGTTAAAATGGGTTGCAATTCATTATGTGCCCCGAGTGGGCTCGCCTATGTGCATAGATAATGACTAAACTCTCCAGCATTCTAAAAGAGCTTGTCCTTCAGTACACCGTATGAAGAGGCAAAGCAACGAATTAAACAAGATCAGATTCTATGACCAAATGACTCTGTGAGGAGCTTAACCCATAGTCGGCCTTCTGTCTGCTCATCGGACACATCCTCAGCCAGGTCTTCAACGCGATTTCAGCGCGTCCCCTCTCGACCAAAGAACAGGCTACAATCACAAATTCCTGATGCTAACCAACTGAGAAGGGTTTGCGCTGGAAAAATAATGAAATGATTGTCTGGAGGTCCAGACAGATTCACACAAGTCCTGTCACCATGGTCAAATTCTTTATCATCACAAGTTGACCGGCCAACACGAAGCTGAAACTGTTGCTTGCAATGCAACTCTGCACAAGCCTTAAGCTGAGTGGAAAGTGTGCAGCAATTTGAGAAGGCATGTGAGTTGTTCTCCAAATGTCTGGTTGGGGATGTATTTATGTACATTCTCCTTTTCGAGCGGCTTCAGTTTTGGTGGCCACTCTGAATTTCCATGGCACCTTGATGTTTCAAGTTTGATATGGTAAATGTGGTAAGCAACTGAGGCCAGGAATTCATTTACTTTCACTTTAACAAGACGGCACTACCTCACTGGACAACCACATAGCCCCATAGCCACAACAAAGCAACACTTAGCAGCAAGCTAGCTTCAGGCTTAGCGGCTTAGCTATCCCAACACTTTTGTCTGCAACACAACATGACCGGCTCGCCAAACTTACTCAATGCCTTGGTCAACACTTGGCCAGCCCAATACTTTTCCAGCTCACAACTTAGTAAACTCACCATTTAGCTAATTGCTTCGCCGCATAGCTGCTCAACCTGTCGCGTTTAGTCACCTCAGGTTTTGGCCAACACCGCTTCGCTTCTGTACCACTCAGCTACATTTCCTGCACACACCTCGAGGTGCGCCAGCAGTTTGTCAATTGAGCGTTGAGTCTGGCGGTGGTTAATCGTTGCTGATGCTCAGCCAAAACGAACTCGGCAAACCCCCAACACCTATACAACCACTCCTCAAACACTTGCTTGCTTGCTTGTGTGCGTCTATACACCCGGTGTACGTCGGTCCTGCAACCCTTGCTGAAGCCAAGGGCTTAATGCAGCCTGGCAACGAACAAATGGTCTTGCGAAAAACTGTGTTTTTTTTCTGTTCTCCTTCTTCTTTTAAAGCCTGCGTTGCCCTCACCCTTACTTAATTAAGTAGGCGCCTATTGTATTAAGCGGAATAGCTCAAGCTTCTTCAGAGAAGCTACCCCCGCCTGAGGGCAGGGGGAGCTTGTTTGAAGAAATGCTCGCACTATTTGGTTCCTGGATTCATTCACAAAAAACAAAAGGAGCACCTGCTCGCGCTCTGCGAAATTCTGCAGGTCAAAGCCCAACTTCGAAATTCGCTCTACTGTTGCGAAGTCCTCCCATTGCTTCGACCGAGCAACGCCGCAGCAACATAATGCTTCGCAAATGCCACTGAAATATGTAAATACATATATATATATATATGTAATAAAATGTAATTAGTAAAACAAGCTTCTCATTTCAGCTCACACCTATAGGCGATGACCCAAAGGCCCAAAGGTCCTTGGACTTGATGGAGGCCAACACATGAACATCGAACTGCTGCTGCTCCTGACTCTTGCACTCGCAGAAGATCGCATGAGAGCAATGTTACAGCTTGCGATGAGACTCCAATGATCTCTTCACTGAGGAAGCACTGAACCCGCAGAAACCAAGTGGTACAATTCCACGGCAACGCTCTCTGCTCCTTTTTTGCAGCTCGAAGTGTTTGAGCAATGTGAAGCAAAGATTGAGTAAAAAATAAAGTGACTAAAGGCTAGATGGGGTGTAGCTTAGATAACTATCCCACCACCTCAACTTACACTACAAAGCGTAGTAACGTAGTACAAGGTATAACTCGAAATCAACTCCCTAAACTCCTTGGACACCCTTTCTCGTTGGTTTTCTTTCGGAATCAACAGCAGACGAAAGGAAGGGCTCCTGCGAAAGCTGGTAGCCACAAAAGTGGAGGAGGTCCAAAACACCGGGTCGGGCACCCATCGCCTGGATTTGGCACATCTTAAGTCCAGAACAGAAGTCGGCGGAGCCAAAACAAAAGAAACAGAGATGCACAATAGAAGACGTTTGGGTCTCTTTATATAACAATACAATATATCAGCGGCCGTATCCGCATTACAGTACAGGCGCCTAAATGCTTCCTTTTATTCCTCTCTTTTTTTCGTCCCTTGAGCCTTCTTCCACCATTAGAATCTGAATTGGATCAGAGGGCCCAAGAAGGTCAAGTCTAGACTCTAGACAATCCAACTTCATCAGCGGTTTTTCCTATTCACAAATGGTACTCCGGCCGGCCATTCTGCCCTTATTGGTTTGTTTTGTGTGTTAAAAGGCAGGATACATTTATTCAATTGAAAACACACTGTTGTGGTCCAGTTGTGGTGAGCTGAGAGTCCAAATTCCTATTCATGGATGCTTCTTCTAGAAGTCCAGTACCTACCAGCGTGACCACTGAGAAGAGGTCAAGCAATTTGAGCAAGGAGCAAGGGGTCAACTATGCAAAAACAACGAGCCGGCAGTGTTGTACCAGTAGATCCAACTGTTTTTGGATATTTTGCACAAAGAACGTTAAGGCCTGTCTCTTGCGTGGTGACAAGGTCCGAAAGTCAATCCGACATCACCAGGCCTTACTCACCATCTGCAAAAGCTCGGAGCTGTATCTCGCGAGCACCTCTTGCAAGTTCACGGCCTGCGCGACAGCTTCCTCATAAACTCAGGCTAACTCAGGCAAGGAAGATCTCACGGATGATGCAACTTGATCAAAAGAACCTTCCACATTCCACAGTAACTCAGAACAAATCCTTCTTTCCGACCCCATCTTCATTCAATGACCCTCATGATAGAAGTGCCAAGGTAATCTATCGTGACTTGACTTAGTATCATGCACCTGGAGCTTGTCCGTTCCTAGCTGCCATGCTACACCAAACAAACTGTACTGACAAAATCTCAATGATTTGGGGCTCGGGGTTGATGTTCCTAGTAGCGTCCTTGTTCCTAGTAGTAAGGCCAGGAGCCCCATAGTAGCGTCATTGCTCCTAGTAGCGATGCCCGTTGCTCCTAGTAGTGTCCTAGTTGCATCCGTATTTTGCAGCCCACCAAATCCTACAAATACTTCATAACTTGTCATCACTGCTGCAAGTGCCTACGCCCGCCTCCTGCACCAGCAAATACACAAAGTTAAAGGACTCTGCGGCCAAAGCCAGTAGCAAAAGATACCTGAAAGAAAAATGCAAGGTAAGACCAAGGACGTTCCTTGTCAATGACAAATATATATGTTGACAGCATTCTCAGAAAAGCTAGTGAAGCCATGCTCCATCCTACCAACGAACAGCTCTTTAGGAATCCGGCCCACAGCTGTCGACCTGGAGAAAGGCGTTGGTGGCTGCACCTGCCTTCAGAAAAGAGGACAGCACAAAAGGAACCTCGGATACACGCGCACCATTGCTTGCACAAGGGTACGCTTTCAAACATGTTAAAAGCGTGGAAAACAAACCAAACCAAGTAAAACCATTTGATGCTGTTGACAAAAAATAGCAAAGGACAACATCTGTGATTCGACACAAGTCTGTGTGCTGTACTTTGTACAAGTAGATACGATGCTTGCAAAGACTGTGGATCTTCTTCTCTGCGTACGAGGTGGTTGCCAAGTCCTGTTGCAAGTTTGCTTGTTGTTGTCGGAACCGTTTTGAATAAAGTAAGCAAATGACAATAAACGGCTCGGTCCAGCATTGAGAAGCGAAATGAATTCCTGGATCCCAGAAAGTCCACCGTAATGGACCTCAGACGTTGCTTCTGGATGGACATCTTGGGATCGAATATTGGCTCTTTAAGGATTGCAAACTCAGAACGGCACGGTTTAAGACTTCATAAACTCTGCACAGGGTTCATTTCCAGATATATTGTTTTTTTGTATTTTAGGTGGTTTTTTACAAGTTGAAGATATGGTTTTTTAATGGTTGTGAATAAAGGCTGCACATTTGAATTTATTATATATATGTTCTTGTTTTTTAAATTGATGTTTTATAGTTTGAGGACTACTAAATTTACTAAATAGGCTTATTAAATATGCACTCCAGGGCTGCAATAAGCAGAATGTGTTATGGTTTTATCCGCATAATCCAGTTGCGGCTTCATTAAATAGTGTAAACAAACTGTAAACCCAGATCACATCCAAAGGAAAAAAAAAGATCCCGGCAAGAGACCCCAAACAGTGTAGAGTGCAAATAAGAAAGCCTTTCGGGTAAAGGCAGCTGGGTGTAACCACGCCAGGTCAATGTAAAAACAAGAGTCTGAAGAAAACAGATGTCTAAATGTCGGGAAAGCGGCTTAAAGAGCATACATATGAGAGCAAGCTTACAGTTGGAGAGGTCCAGAGAGCACACATCTGAGAGCACAGTCACCAGAGCACGCGTCAAGTGAGTGATTGAGTGAGTGAGTGAGTGAGAATGATTGTGAGTGTGAGAGTTAGTGTGAGCATGAGTGAAAGTGAGAAAGTGCTGTGAGAGTGAGTGAGGCCTGCCACGAAATCCGCACTTCGAGGTTCACAAAGTTCTGTACCTGCCACGAAATCTGCAAACGACCCACATGAGTCACTGCACCTGTCACGAAATCAGAGCGCCTCGAAGATCACCACCATGTCAAAGTGAGCACCATGTGCGAAAATGCGCACGACATCACAACGAGAGCACAGTCGCTAGAAGCACCCGCCGCGGGCCCCCAGATTTTGCGAGCCTGCGCAGTCGAAAGACACGTCGACGATTTCGAGAGGCATGAATGTACTGTAAATAGCAGCGAATTAGCCGCACACTCCCGCGCACCCCAGCGATCTAAGCACAGCTGCTTAACCCTTACCGTAAGAACCTCTAAGTATGTCCACACTGTTTGGGGAATAATAGTAACAATAATAGTGATAAAATAGAGTAAAATTGAAATACTCTTCACCTGCAGGCTTCCAAACGCTTAATATTAGGTTGGAGGCCATTGCTATTAGGTTGGAGGTCATCGCTCTGAGGTTGCCACCCTTCACTGAGCAGCTGCTCCGCAACACCCCCTTTTGCCAGGCACAACTGCACCTCCTGCACCGCTGCAGCGGATTCTCAAGTACTGGAATGCTAATGCATCTTTGATAGAATTTCATCTCAACTTCTTGGAAACATCATATACCTGGTCAAGATCATAGCGCAGGGATCGCAGCAAGGAGAGCTTGTCAACGTAGCCCTTGCGCAAAGCCTGCTGCATGATGATTGCTACACAGCCACAGTAAAGCACAAATCGTGCATCCAACACCTCAAGGCTCAAGTCAAACCCACAATCACAAAGCTTGTCATGCCTATGATAGTACTTCTGATAGCACGTTCAATTCCTATGTTACAATGGAAGTCTTCATTCACTCAAATTCCATCCTCCTTGCTTAAAGCATATTTTTGTCAGGCCAAGTTTGTAAATGAGTCTCTTTGGTAAAACAACAGCATGATTTGTCTGGAAAAAGCCTTCCATGCAATTGTTACTTCTGGCGACGGCTGCTTCCCAGATGAATTTATCCCTCTGTGGTATCCCTTTTGTGCCATTGGGGCCTTCTTGGCTATGTTTCCGACAGTTCGATCCGTAAAGCATCTCAAGAGGCAGAGGAAAAAGGTTTGAAGCACAAGCGCACGGAAAGTTCGGGCAGCCCCTGGCTTTTGTCACTCCGTTGCTTGGGTTTTTGGTTCATGTGTTATGGAAAATGTCGCTATTGCTGCCGCTGCGTCACTCGCCAACATACTCTGTTGGTTACTAGCAACTCAAGTAAGATCACCCCCTAATATAACGATGGAATGCCACTACCAGTGGTCAATTTCAACAAGGATATGGGCTTCTAATCAAGCAACAAAAGGATGGGAAGGACTTCTTGTATTGCCGATATGCAAAAACCAGAAACCAGCTGCATGCTCAACAGGCTCAACAGGATAGGATGGGCACATTTGGACTTGGACCAGGTGCCTTTCCACCGCAAGAAGCTACACAGTGAGAACAACCCCTAGTTGAACGACGGCTGTCAGGGCCTGGATTTGCCACACAGCTCGGGGACGAAGCAGATGGCAAAGGCGACAAGTAGCGATGCCAGGAGCCCCTAGTAGCTTCTTGTTACTAGTAGCTACTTGCTCCTAGTAGTACGGCCAGGAGCCCCTAGTAGCGTGCTTGCTCCTAGTAGCGATGCCAGGAGCCCCTAGTAGCTTCTTGTTACTAAAGTGACAAGGAAGATCAGGGAGGAAAGGAATGAGCTTTGATTGTAGGCACAGATCTTGCAACTCATCGCGTTGGAAATAAAGCCCACCATGCTGCATTTCAACCAAATCACAGATCGCACATTAGTTTGCATCAGCACGTTGAAATGCTGCAGACTTCTTGTTTGGGCTGTTTGGGATTACCTGGCAGGGGGGCTTGCAATGGAAGTTGGAAGCCGACAAAAACAGCGCTTATTGGAAGCACCAGATCCTGTTCCCTCATGGATGATTGAAGGTGTTCTTGCAACTGGCTTTCACAACCATCTGAATGAGAAAGCCGCCAAGAAACCATAGGTTTGTCTTGCGCCACTCGACTGGTTGGCTGGTTGGGGATAAGAAACAAGAGGAATGTGGATGGAAGATCACAGGCATCGGGGGAGAAATGAACTGTGTCCACGGGAATCCAACAGTACCGCACATGAAAGCTTCGGCTTTAGACTGGGCCCTGGGACATGTAAAACAACAGCTCACAATCAAAAACGAGGAACACTTCTTTTTGTTCTGTGCCACAAAGCACCCTCTCCTTCTGCACGAAGGAGGTCAGCCTTGCATCCGAGGCCGCGAAGTCTTGCTGGTTGAAAGTGTATTTCCTGCATTCACAAAACATTAGTGTGATACATTCCTCTGGCAAAGATGTTGCTTCAAAAGGGCAAAGACTGCGCTGAAAACATACACCATCATGATGCTTCATGGAACTCATGAAGCAATTCATGAAGAATACACCCAAGCACAAGGCTCTCTGACAAACAGTCGTTCTTGTCAACCACCGCAACATCCGCAAAATGGGGCAGGCAAGTTGGGACGGGATGGCTCCAGAAAGTTGCAATGTGATTTTCAAACGGGGGTTAGGCCATAGGGTGAGCTTGTGTGTGTATGTATAAATACTTATATAAGTAGCTAGTAGTAAGTTAGTAGTAAGGGGTAGCTACTAAGCTTAAGAAGCACTACCTAGGACTCAGCTTAAGAAGCATACCTAGGACGCAGAAGGGCTCAGTTTAAGCCTGACAGGCTTGATGATTTGGCTCCTAAACCTTTTGGGAAACTCTACCTGGCTCGGGAGGTTCGATGGTTCCAGGCGAAAAATTGTGATCAGGGACCGGTTCCAAGAGAAGTAAGAACTGGGGAAAATTGTATCTATGAACAAAAAAGGTGTCCACACCGGTATTGTTCTCGCACCATCCGTCCTTTCTGCCAGCATCCTCAAGCCCTCGAAGTCGCTGTCCAGAACGGCCTCGGCATGACCAGTGCTTGAAGGTCACACCCCTTCCTCCACACAAGCAATAGGAACAAAAGCGATAGAAAGTCGTCACCTCGGTGAAGACTGAGTCCAGATTGTAGCGAAAGGCCCCGCTGTCCATGAAGACTCTGACGACGCCTTAAAGCATAATGATTTTCTGTCAGCTCAATTTCGAGGAATGCACCAGATTTCTCAAATTGAGGGGTCAGCTGACAGCAACTGTTAGGGAATGCATAATTGAATAAAGAAGTCTTGCCAAGTGACTCCAATCCCTTTCAGCAAGGGCCAGAAGTGGCACTACCTGGCAAAACAATGGAGACATCTCAACTTGTCGACAACACTATCTCAAAGTCTCTGCTGCGTTGAGACTCCTTTGAACAAGAACGATAGATTTGTGATAGCGTATACACATACATACAACCCGAAGTGTTCAATTACACTTTTTGCAGTCAAGGAGGATGCACCATACACACCCTTAATGTCAAAACCTGCCTTGTCCTTCAGCACTTTGAAAAAGGTGCGCCGCAGACGCCACAAGTGTCTTGCTTCTCTCAGGCTCAAGCACCTCAGAAGAGCCAAATGTGGACTTGCTAGTCGAGCAACATAGTGACCAAGGAAATGCCAGGCCACATCAGGATGGTGTATACCAGGCCCTCATCTTTCAGCACTTTGGGGCCTACCAGCAAGGGCAACGTTGTAGCACGTGTTAAAGTTGTTGATCATGGAGCAGAAGCGTTGCCCTGGTGCGTATCACCATGTTTGATAGCCTCTTTGTGGCTATTCAGCTTGGTAAATGTGTGGGCAAACCATGTATCAACATGTTTCAGGCAGAGGTTTGTTCCTGAAATAACTGTTGAAGGCAACAGATTGATTGGCGATGAGGCTGGAAGTGTGACCCATGCTGTGAACAACTAGTTAACCCGTCCGGATCATGGAAATGCTGGGCAGCGCCTGGTGTCTCAAGTGGACCTGCTCTCATTGATCCTTCCAGCCTGGCCAAACACCGGGATCCGAAACCGGGCAACTACAGGAGCTACTAGCAGCGTCCTTGTTCCTAGTAGTAATGCCAGGAGCTACTTTAGTAGCGTCCTTGCTCGAAAGTAAAATTGCAAAAATCCAAGCAATTCACCAGACTGTGTAGCTGCACTGGGTCTGAGTTTCCAAGCGCCTCCTCCTACTCATCTGCAACAATTTGTGGCTTCATCTGCCAATGACAAGCACACAATAAAAGGTTCGGCCATCTCAAACGTGGGAGTTTTAAGGTCTGGAATCACAAACCAAGCAATTGTAATGTTAAGCACAATAAATCACACATACTTTGGCCTCGTTCACTTCGCAACATCCGACATTGCAACATTGCCGACAATGAAGTCATGCATGAAAATGAATCTAAACGTTATTTTTGTGTATATACATGTACCTTAAAAATGCCAAATTGATCAAAGAGTTTGAACTTATGTTGGAAAAACAGGTGTGGGGGTTTTGTTTTGTTGTCTAGGTCCATTGCTGATATGACATACATGATTCCATCCATTACATTGAAGCAAACGGCAAATGTACACAGGATAGATATGTCGCCACCAAAACATTTCTTGCCTCCTAAGTTCAAAACATTTGTACAAATTTGACACCCAGTCGATTGCAGCCAAGGGGTGAAATTGAAAAGTTGAAATCAAATTGACAATTAGTTCAGACTTGTGATTTCATTCATGGCAAACCTGCAAAAAATATGTCAAGTGTTTCCCTGCAATACAAAAACAAATATAATCGCGTGAAATCGTTGATCTGCTCATTTGGAAAGGGTTTCTGTTATTGTGCGAAAAATGACACAATGAAAATAGTTCTTAATGCTCTTAAATGTTTACATCAAATCTCCCAATGCAGCATCTTCGGTTGGAACGCGATAATGCAACGTTTCTTTGCCACTTATTTTCAATCATGGAGCTCCTAAAAAGCACTCCAGCCAAAAGTTCAACATGTTGCACCACATGTCAAACATGGCAAAACGCTCACGTTTTCGTTTTTGTGCCAAAAACATATTGGAGCGTTGTCTTTAACTTCAACTAAGCAACAATTCACATTGGTATGTATATGGTAAACACCCGCCTTAAAAACAGATGCGTAAGCCTGAGTTCCATCTGAACATAGGATCTACATCAACTATTTAACATCGCGTTGGGCTATCGAACTGCTCTCAATGATGGTTTCGAAATCATTTCAATCAAAACATTCACAAATAACACATTGCAACATGTCGTTTTGTTCGTAGTGATGTAGTCATCTGCGGTTCGGTGCTTGACACGCATACGCAGTGAAACAAATTTCCACAAACGTAAAACCGTTTTTCAACTTTGTACACAATTGTCAATTTTGGACAACTTTTCCCTTTTGCCTCAACGCTTTCAATGAAATTCCATCCTGTGTCTCTCTAAGCTAAACTGTCACCGTTTTGACCTGAACAACTGCGCGGTTCGTTTGAACTTGGTGCACCGACAGGGTGCATGCTAAATCTTGACAAGCGCCTTGGGATACAATGGTTCTTGCTGTGTCCTATCCATCAAATTTACAGTCTTTGGCCTTTTGTGAAACGTTCTTTCACATTCTTCAATGTTGTGAACCTTTTCAACAATCTGTGAACCTGAGTCGTTCAGAAGGATTCCAAGCCAATTTTGGAATCGCCCATTCAAAAATGAAAGCCCGCCCGACCTGAAAAACTGAAGCCAGAACTGGCTTCAAGAAATGCCCGCGTGTTGGGCCAGACATTCAGGCTTCCGCGATCCAATCCTTGCCAACGCCTGAGCGCCCGTCGCGTGGCGATTCTTGCCGAACCTGTTGCTGGCTTGCTGTTCATGATCTATCCACTTCAGTTGCTTGGAGTGGTGTGTTGCTTGGCGTTTCAACATTGCGCACAAGACGCGTTTGTCAATCGCAAATTTCCATGCGCCAACATTGTCGGCGATCAACTGAGGGGAAACTGCAACTGGTCGTCAGAAAACGATGAAAAGTCGAAGCCAGGCGGGTGGAGCCGCCGTTTATGCAGGAAATCCATAGGTCAGCTTGTGCTGTTTTTGAAAGAGTCTCTTGCGTGAAGTGCCAAACAACAAAAAAATCCACACAAACCCAAACCAACCCAAAAACAACAAACCACAAACAACCAGAGAAACGAGCAAGAGACTCTTGAGTGTACATGCAAGGTGAAACAGGTGTGAGACATAAGTCGGGCGTTAAATTAGCGCAAAAAGGCTGCATGAAAAGTCTGGAGCCAAGCCGAAGTTGCTGACAATGTTCCTGGTTTGGTGAACAGGCCTGGACTACTGTTGGTTTATGTTTTGTTTTCTGGTGAGATACTGCTTGTAATGTGGAAGCACTGAATTCTGGACGTTACTCTGAGGCACCTGTGACTCTGAAGCACCTGTGTGTTATCACCGCAATGACTTGACCATGTTTGTGTGACTTGGGGGATCCGGGATGTGATTGTGTGTTGGCGGGGCTGGTGTGTGGGTTGTGTGGTGGTGTTGACAGTGTTGAGGCACTGCTGAGGATCCCCGTGGGAACATTTGCCGGCTATGTAGAACTGTGTGGCTGGTTGGTGTATGGCCTGCAAAATATGCGACCGTCAGCAAGTTGAAGGAAGCAAAGAAGCAAGACCCGACCATCCTACATCCCTTCTTGGCCAAGTTTGAGCTCCGCCAGAAAGGCATTCTAGCAGCTAAGGTGGCTGTCAATCTCATCAACCGTCATGAAGAAGGATTGGAAGCACCTCCAAGCTATTTCATGGAGCTTTGGCGCTACCGCGAAGTTTATTGTGAACCCGATCCATCTTTGATAATTGAAGAGACCGTCAATGGAGTAAGTTGTCTTTGCATTGCTACATTTGTTTTATTTCGGAGAGATCGAGTCTGAGTCATAGTCACTGTTAGGCTAAAATGATATAGGACAGGGTGAGTCAACATACATACATATTACATACTTTTGTTTTACTTTACAATTATTACCATTATAAAATATATAGCTATAATAATTAAAGTATTGTTTTTGATCTTGTAATTGGACCTGGTCCAAAGGTGAAGCACCAGGGCGTCGATGTCTTTGACAATGACATGAAGGGGATGCACAAGCGTGTGCGGAGAAGCGTGAAGGAAGTAGCCCACAATACAATCTTGCATGATGGAGAGCTAAGTTTAGGAGCTCAGGTTCCTCAAGGCATCTTTGATGAAGCTGCAAGAGCTGTTCATTCTCGTGCAGCCAGTTCCTCAGCACAGTCCAAGGGCATCTCATTTACTACCGCCATTGCTCCAAAGCCTCTACCTGCTTCTGCAAGTGTTGCTGAAAACAAGGACTTGGTTTCTTGCGTTAAAAAAATCCTCTGTTTGGGGATGCAAAAGTAAAACAAACCAAAGCAAAGATCACAAGTCATATTCTGGAGTTGAGAAGTTGAGTCATAGTTTTTTTTGACCAGACAATTTTTCAAGACTTTGATAATTGAAAACAATTTGCAGAAAACTGCCACAGATGGAGTGGAAACTGGCATGCTTAGCGGCAAACAGATCAAAGCCAAGCCAAAGCCAGCAGCTAAGCAAGCACCCAAGCAGCCCAAGCAAGCACCACGCTTCAGCCTCAGCCCAATCAGCCACAGATCCCTGACCCGAAGCCACCAATCAGGCGGAAGGCCGCGCGCTGAGAGGTCGAAAACAACCAGACCAAATGCGAAGACCGAGCTCTATTGGATGCATTGAATCAGAAATTTGTGAGCTGGCATTGGAGCCAAAAAAAACTGAGGCAGCGCGCACCGGTAGGATAGACAGTTGGTTGGAACCCAGGTGAGAACCTTAGTTCTTGTGCTGGGCGTGGGTCCGTGCCCTGCCAACCTGGTACAAAGTGGACAATGGCATCACACTAGGTTCACCAGGTTTCACAATGTTTCACCAGGGCCATGCATGATGGAAGCGGGTCCGCAGAAGAGTCGAATCGCCATCTAACTTGGATTGCACTCAGCACATTCGTTTTTGCCTGTAGGCTTAGCTGTTAAGGAGCCTGCTCGTTATGTGCTGCACTTGTTCCCTCTTTTTTGAGGGAGTTTTTTCGTGCGACTCTCGGCTTGCACAACTCCTTTGGCGCAATTTGAAATTTGGACTCTGCGCAGCACAAATGAGCTGAGATCTTGCACTTGAGCACTCACGCCTGCAAGTGCTCGTGCACTGGCCTGTTGGCACAGGCCTTTCGCCCGATGCCTCTTCGTACTTTGACCAACAAACTCTCGACTTCAGCTCAACCGACTTCACGGCCCAGGTAGATAGCAGTCATTGCTCCTTTTCACCGTGTCTCACAGATGTACAGAAATGAAACTCCGATGTTTCTCTTTGGCGCCTTGTTCTCTTTGGTTGGGTGTTTGTGTTTGGGGGGTGTTGTTTTGTTGTTTTGTTGTTTTAGTGGTTTTGTTGTTGCTTGTTCCGCAACTTGAGAACTCGGAGATTCAAACCTTAGAAAATATGACCTGTGCACCGTGCACACATGGCGTCTCCAACCGTGCAAAAAAAATCAGCCTTGTCCGCTAGTGAGCACAAAGTTGAGCAAAGGGAAGGTCACACTTGCACAGAATCCCATCGGACACCAGCCACATCTGCAAGGGCCAACAACTTGATCCGAATAAAAAGCGGCAAAGATCATTCATTTTGAGAGGCACTGACTTTGCATTGATGGTCATCAAGTCATGGAGAGCAGCAAAAAACTGTTTTTAGAAGCTCCATTGCAAGCTTGAGCTTCATGGCAAAGTTCTCACTCTCCAAGCAATGGCTGACTTGCCTTCGTCGGCGTCGGTCCAGCTGTCTCTACTTGTAAGCTTGGTCTGAAGTTTGGAGAAGTTCTTCATGCCCGGGTGGAGACGCCATGTGTGCAGAGATTGCACAGGTCATCTTGCGCTAGTTAAGAGAGAGTTACGAGCCAGGTTGCGAAAGCAAAGAACCACCAACAAAACCAGAACCAAACAACAAACAAAACAACCAACCAAGACCAAGCAAACCACGAAGTAACCTGGCAGGTTTTTTTTTCCACGAGTGCGGACGCCATGTGGGCGGAGTGCCCAGGTCATCATTGAAGGAAAAGGAAACACAAAATGATGGTGGGGAAAGGAACACAAGCAAACCCCAAACCAAACAAAAACCAACCAAAGACCCCAACCAAACAAAACAAAACCGACGGCCAGAGGCCGAGTCCCCACTATCAAGGAGTGTTTCCTCTGTACGGAGGTGAGACAGGTGAGACAAGATTGGCTACGTACTATCTATGGGCCTGAATTCGCAAAGAAAATCAGTCAGGAGAGGTCAGCGCACGAGCAGAGTGCAACGAAGCCAATCAAAGGGGCTTCGCTTCACCCTCAAAACTGT